TCTTATACATCGAAATACATTTTCATTAGTAGAGGTAGCAACAGTCAGTTGATGTATTTGTTGTGCAAATATATTCAACACGAGTTTCTAAAATAATGCAGTGTTTTTGGGTTAAGAGAATATGCTTTGATGCAATTTTAAGGTTCGAGGGTCTAAAAAAACAAACAAATCTAACATGTATAAACAATTGTTACCTTTAAACCAGAAATTAACCTTTTTTTTTCATTTAGCAACATAATAACTTAATGAATTTATATCTCCAAAGGATCTGTTAACTCTCTCCAGACAGGTCACAGTCCATGTCATTGAGTTTGTTGACTCGTATTCAAAATTTTATTGAACTACTATTTCATGAATTTATGTCAATAAATTTGGTATCAAACTGTAGATTATAATTCAAATTGTAGTATTATACATTATTTAAATTCTTAATTTAAAAGTAAATATTAAAAAAACAGTTAAACATTGATTTTTGTGTGTCACGTGGTATGTTGGATGCAGCACTGGTTCAAATTAGATGTTTATGATGTCAAAATACTAAGTCTTTAGTTTTGTACAAATTAGGAACTCTAATTACTGATATTGACAAGTTATAATATAAAATAAGAACCTCCTGTCTTTTCTCTTTGCTGATATATCACTCATGTACTGAATCAAACACCGTGGCCCCACTCACCACTTTTGGAAATGGTCCCTTATATACACTTACTTCATGACATGTGAATAACCATTTTAAAGTTCAGAATATCCCCCTAGTGGTTTTCTCAGTCATGTTCATGTGTAACGATGCCATCTCTTTCTTTCGAACCAAGATTTCAAGGAAGTAGGTTGTCTTTTGTCTGCTCAAATTTTAATATTTTTTTAGACCCAAATGCAATTTAGTAACTAAGCTTGATAAATTATAGTGGAATTCTATGGTATCAATATAGTAATTTATGATTTTTTGGTTATAAAACCTAAAAAACATTATTTTGTTTCATATCTTCCATGTGCAAAATTTTAAAATGCTTAGCAACCTACATCCAGCAGCAACTCACTACAAAGGTCTTAACTAGAAGAGATAATTGTTTGCTTTACTTCTTTATTTACTGTTCTATGTTTAAGAAAAATATGTTTAAGAACTTATTTCTAAATATTAATAATCTTTATACATGTATAATAATGAAAATGTGATGTGACTGTATTTTACAAAACATTAAACAGCCAAGACAGGTCACTTATAATATTTGATACAGTAACATGAGCGCATGTGAGCCACGTCATTGTAACTTCTTTATTGTTAGCCAGGCATGGCTGAAAGGTCAATATAACAAATATATATAAATGTATAATGTTATGAGATGCAAGTTATTTAGTCTAAACATTTATGTTTCATGTTATTTGTGTTCATTCTAGAATGAAAGAGGCATAATTTATATTTATTTCCTAATTTTATATGGTGGTTGCGAGATCAGTCATATCTACCGAAAATAACAGATAAAATACAAAGTTTTGTCTTAAGAAACGTTTGATAACTCTATGGACATTATAAAGATTTTGCATGTGAAATTTGAAAATTACTTTGCATGTTAGATAGGCAACATGCAAAAAAGATTAAGGTATGAGAAAAATATTGGTTAACAAACTTTAAGCCTTAATAAAAAAACATTTAATACTTTGTGTATGAAAGCATTGTAATATTTATTGATAATCTGCAAAATTTCGTGAAAATATGCTTACTAATTTAAAAGTTATAGCATGAAAACTATAACAAGCACAAAATGGTTATGAGGTCAGTCCTAGGGACCAAGCACATGCTGAAAGAGTTAACATGATTCAAATAAAGGCGGATGTAATGTGTTGTGTATATACTTTTTTTTTTTTTTTTTTTATCTGTGGTGACTTTTGTCAAGAAACCACAATTATCAACAATGTCTCTAACCTTTCTATATTACTATTTTTCTGTGGTTATTCTTTATCTTAATTGCTTCATAGGTTTCAACCCAAGTTTTAACTGTAGCAAGCTTCTCTTTATAAGTCAATTTGCTTTCTTCATGCAGTTTCTTCCTTCACTGTGGAATTTTCTCTTTCTCAACTGAATATCTAACTTTCTTCACTCTTCCTTATCTTTACCAACCCTGTACATGTCTGCTATTCATTTACTTTTTTGCCAAACTAGAATGGTTCTTCCTATGGGATTTTTGAACAAAATTCTCAATAGTTAAAACTGAAATACAAGAACAAATTGTTTTGTGTGTGCAAGAGTCCACATCAGATTGCTAATTACTTGATACATGTTACCCCTAAACTATGAGAAAATATTAATACAAAACAATTGTCAGTAACTGATACCTGATATGAACTTGGTGTTGACACTGTTTATAAATGAAAAAATAACTTTTAACATGATTTTTTTTTTCAAATTAGCCAACAAAATCTTACCAGCTTAACCCAAATTTTATTTTGGTAGTAGCCTTGATATCCATTTGATTGGTCAGTAGCATTCACTTGTTTTTTACATCATCTTCTATCCCCATAAATATTTTTTTCTCTCTCAAACTGACATTATCTGAACTGATAAGTCTTGCAAGTTCTCCATCTGTTAGTCAGATTGAACAAGCATGATCTACAAATGATAATAGTTTTTTTTTCTCTTTGTGACATTCCCTATATATTATATCATAGAAACTGCTGTGTGTGCAGATTTTGAATTAATTATATTTTATTTTTAAAGGTTTTTCAAATTTTTATTTAGTATAACTCTATCTTCATTTATAAAACATTACCTTCAATACCCAAATGATGCTCAAAATATTAAAACTATGAGTTTTCAAAATTGTAGATAATAAGGCATAAATATCATTATTAAATAACATCAATGGCATCCCCAAATGTATCTATATTCCAAACTAGTGTTAAGTGACCTGTAATGTGATTTGATATGCAAATGTCTGCTATTGAAGTCTGTGTACAGAAATGTTCATGTGGTTCTACAGACACTGCAGCCCAATGAATGATCAGAAAATGTTTGTTAATACAGCATATGATCACCTCTGACACTAACATAAGTTGTACATTGATATGGCAAGCTTAAAATAAATAAATCAATGAGTTGGTGAGGTTACATGGTTGATTCGTCTATCAGAGTTGCTTCCAGTTCAACAACATTACTTGGAAGTGAATCATGTGCTGCTAAGGTTTTTTATATCAGATTCAAGTCCATAGAATGTGCTTACAAGTCCATTTTTACTATACCCTCTCCTTCCAGGAAACTGATAAACAGTTGACCACAGTGAGAATGTATGTTATCATCCATTAGAAAAAATTCTGACCAACTGCATTTGTATATGGCAATATTTTATCCCTATACTGTATGGCATATCATAGCACATAAAGGTCAGTGTGGCCATTAATACTGATCCCTTCCCAAATCAGTATGCCACAACCACCATGAAATTAGGGTTGAATCTGGTCCCTGACACTCTCCAAATGTGTACCAGTCTCATATGTGGTTATAATGTGAAGTGTGAGCAACACAACTGCCTACCTGACATTTGACCAAGTCACATATTTTTGACTTTACTGAAGATGAGCTGCTATGTGGTGATGAGTTACAGGAACCACACTAGCAATCATCTAGCATAAAGAAGTTCATTTCTGACAGACTGCATTACTAATTTTGCATCTAGTTACTGCTCTGAACTGTTGATTTGAGTTGGAAAGCTGAGACCTGCCAGTTTTTGATTCTATAGAGTCCACAACCTGCTAGTCACAGTGAGATTATGAACCGTTCTGAAATAACTCAATTTGTGGCCAACCTGTTCCTTTCAACTGTATGGAAATGTCTAAATATCTTTGATGGGCTCCTGGCACATTCCACAATCAATCTGGAGATCTTTACACCCATACTGCTGTTGTTCAAACTGCTGTAATATGCAGGCATATTATATTTTCTAGCTGGAATACAAGAATTTTTTTAAAATTTTTGTTCATTTAGTTTCTATGCACTTTTAACACAAACATGTAGTCCAGGAAACTCTTTCTAGTTTCTTTGTTCTCTATAGCAGATAATATCTACTATGCCCAAGGGGATGTTGTGGTCTACTTCTCTTACATGTTAGTAGGGTCTGACTGCACATCTTTTGTTGGCTGAGTGAATGATGTCTGTATGTTACAGCCAGTGAATTCTGTGAAAAACAAATCACATGGTGATGCCCTTGTATGAGAAAGTTTATGATTTCTTTTAAATGTGAGGCAATTATTGATTCTCAGTTGTATCTATTTTCTGATAATGACTAGTTCATTAGAGATTTATCTTGAGACATGAAGCAGTATTGTATTCAATGAATCTGTAGGAGCAAGTGCACGTTTTTTTTTCATACAACTATAATAAAAACTGTGTTCACTATATCAAACTTGTCCAGTCTTTATTTTCACACAAAAAATTATATCTAATTTTCGTATTCAGACTGCTCTCAAATTTCCTGGTTGATCCTGCTGTTATTAGCAGGTCTATCTAATACTTGTTCAAAAATATTTTTTTTATCTGAAAATAACACAGTACTAACTGAAAATAAGTTATGTTTCCTTCACTTTTATATACAACTAGAATGTACATGTCAGATCATATTACAGACCATCAATACTTTTTTTGGATAAAAAAAAAGATTTGGGGGTGTAGTTAAGATTATTTATTAACAGTCCTTGTGCCTTGTCATACCGCTATTTATTATAAACAATGATGTCTAACAAGTATGATAACTATATTAAAAATGTAACGTAATGAAACTTTAAAACATACCTTCATGCAGTATATATTCTTACAATTTTTAAAAGATATGATTAGTTCCACAGAATCATCAAGAGATATTACTGCTTCATCTAATGACAGGATGGTCACAGTGAATGTAATTGTGGCCCTGTAGTTAGTTTCAAGATTACACCAAGAAATATTACCCATGATGTTGCATCTCATGTACTTACTTTTGCGTGTTAATTATAAAAAGACAAGTAATTCTAAGTAATGTATGAATTAATAATTTATTTCCAAACAATGAAATACAGAATTAACTCTGCAAATAATCCCTTCTAAAATAGATAAGCTGTTTGCTGGAGGCAGATGCAGTAAAGGTTGTTTGTTTAGATAGTTGAAAGTTTGTATAATTGTAACTTCAAGTAATATTGTGTAACATTAACTATAAGTTAGGATTAGCTCCTTATGCTCTACAGCATCAAAACATTTGCTCATACTTTCTTAACAGTATATTGTAATGATTTATCTAAATAGCTCAAGACTTTCAAAACTAACTATCCAGAATAGGGAGACTTGTAAAAAATAATGTAATGTTTGAGCATAAAGCAGACTTGCAGAAGGCAAAATGATAACAGGACATCTAGTCAGGCATCAAACAACTTTTTGAGAAGCACTATTACCTTTCCAATTGTGCATAAGGCAGAAGCTGGAAACCTGGGAAATCCTACAGTTCACATTTTGTGTACCTAAAAAAAAAGAGAGACAAAAGTAGGAAATGTTAGAAATATAAAAGTAATATTTTTCCAAAGAAAGCTTGTTTATAATTTCACTAAAATTTTGTTGTTTCTTTGTTTTTAGCCAACTTTATATTTAATAAATATATATACACTTTTTGAAATACCAGTTTGCATTTTGGAAAAAGTAAATCAGGTTAATAACAGTAAAAATTAAGCACTTTGATATCTAAGTAGCAAATTTCATAAAAGAAAATCTTGGCAAGGTGCAAAACTACATAGAAAATGTAAAGATTGTTTTTTACTTATAATTCAATATTAAAAATATTAAGGGGAACTAACTCACTACCCTCTTACATGCTTTTTGATTTACACAGGAAGTTGTAATTAACTATGTTACACTTTAACCTTCAAGGGGGACTGGCATTAACCTGTGGAGATTGGCTTCAAAAGGAGATGGTGCTAATTTGTAAATAAATAGATTTATTTATTTATACTTTAAAGTTTTCATTCATTTTTAAGCAGCAGGTTAAGAATGTCATATACTTTTGTTTTACTGGAATTGATGATGTAACAATAGGATACATCTTTAGAGTTTATCTATAATACAAGTTCTTGAAGATTCTAGATATTATGATGCCTTTGTTCTCAAAAGTTCGCCAAATTGTGCAAAAATGGATTTTGGAGGAAGGTTATTTTCAGTAGCTTTCAAATAAAAAATCCAGAACAAGAAAACCGTTTTCTTTAAAAAAAAAAAAATTTTAGTATCTCAATACTAATTGCTGAAAGTACAAATAAAATTAATTAAAAGTGTGGGAGTCAAAAGTTCATAATATATATATAGATTGTGCAACTTTGTGAATCTATTGTTGTTTTTTACCACAAGTATTGCCATTTTAACATTGCTGAGAGTTACTTGAAGTGAAGTTAAATGACAAAAAGGTGTCCTGTTGTGGTTTGATCTTTTACGCAATGTACTCAAAATGTTGTTGTGAATATAAGTTTGAAAATATATGAAGTATGAAATTGAAAACATATATTTGTGAATGTAATGAGCTGGTCCATCTAATATAAAATAAATTCATAATTCATACAAAATGTTTGTTTTACAGTATTGTCTTACTTTTGACCTTTCTACTGACTCATTACAGCTTTCTAATTCAATTTGAATAATTATTAGCAATGAAAACTTGAAAACAAGTTACTTTACTGAGCCGCATGTTAAAATACATTGAAATGTTTAGAATAGTTCAGGCTTATAAATATTATAGTACAAAATGTCAGAGAGAAATATTGCCAATTTGTGAAAGAGAGAATGTGACGACAGATGGGCATGGCAAGTGGGTCTGATTTCCTAGTTTATTTGATCGTAAACAAATAAGATCAAAGGCTATAACAATTATGCTTTGCCTTAATAATATTTATATTATAACGAGTAATTTACATCCAGTTCCATAATTCTCAAAGGGATGCTAAATAAATTAGAGAAGATGGAAGACATAGATAACAAATGTCAAATACTTATACTAGAGAAGATTGAGGTTTTTTTAAACATTTTCTGATAAAATCAAAAATTATATAATATTAAAATTCGATTTATTAACTACATTTTGTTGCCAACTGTATTCGTATAAAATGATATTAAAGAAGTTTAATTAAATTTTGAATGTAACTCTAAACAGTTGTGACATGCACACTTTGACCTTCCTACAGCAAGAGGGTTAACTGGAAAAATTAACTATATTTTAAAAACTGACTCTAAGATTACTTTTTTTAATTATAGCTGTAAAGTTTTGCTAACTTCCTAAACATTGCATAACCATAAAATTTATACATTAACACTGTGACATTAGAAAGATCATAGCAACTTCACCGTAACAAACAGATCTCATACTTATGATAATGCAAATAGACACACTATGTTTTCTTTCCATTAATTCTTTCTAATTTAACTTGTGAGGATACTGCTAATAATATGTACTGTGATAGTCACTTTAAAGGAGAAACACACTGATTAGTGGAGTTTAATGAGAGAATTATAAAAACTTCAAATTAGAAAAAAAATCTTAGAAAATTCTAGTTTATTATTTCACTAAAGAAATATTTAGGATTCAAAAAAGGAAAATTAAAACCACTCAACTAACTAGTTTTTGTAATGTTTCATCTTTTAAGAGGCTAAATGTGATGACAGATTTAAAAAAAAGCAACTGAAATCCACAATGTATTTAAACTTCCCCCCTTCCAACATACACACTTCAAGTAAATGCTTCATTTCAACTTTAGTAAATCCTATGGTGTTTTTATTTGTTTTGTAGGTTATGTTTAATATACTTCACCAAGTATTACATGATCTGAACATTAAATAGACTGCTCAAGTGGAAAAACATTTTGAAGTCATGCTTGGATTTAGGAGGGATATCAATCAGCTTTAAATAACACACGTTACATTTTTATTTCCAATTCAATAATTACTCATTTATATTATACATATAAATAGCTCTAAAGTTTACTAGTGCAGGAAAATTTGATAAAGATGAATGCACTATATTACTAAATGTGTCACAAAGACAATGAGATCAGTCACAGCGACTCCCTCAGCACTAAAAAGGTTCAATAAATATTGAGCATTTTATTTACTTTTTATTCTCATCATCATTATTATTTACATAAACGAGTAAATCTAACTCCTTGAAAAACAGAGAAATATTTCCAGAATTTGGGTTAAACTTCTCCAATTTCGTTTCAAGTATATAAATTTCATGAAATATGCAAAATGAGATACTCTTTTAAGAAAAAGTGCACTCAGGATAAAACTTTGAAAGAAACGTACTTTACCTGCCAGGCCACTGTGATTCTTTATCTGTTAAAGGTACATAGATTACACCCATCAAAGATGTCTTCTTGATCTCCCCACTAGGAAGTTTATCTATTTGTTCTAATAGTTGGTTATGTCCCTCTTTCCCCACTGGTACAATCAGTCGACCACCAGGTTTAAGCTGAGCAATAAGCTGGATCAAATATAAATAAAAAATTTTAACCAATGTGATGAGTTAAAAATAAACAGACTTGCTGCATGCAGAAGTTACTTCACACAAAGTTCTAGTTGATTTTAAACAAAGATTAGTGTAAATGTTAATGAGAAATATTACAAACCTAAGTAACTTTATTTCCTAGATATAACTACAAGTTACGTAACAGTGAACATGTATCAACAACTGAGGCTTCACTTTTATACACTGTAGAAATGAACCACTACATGTTCATACTTTTACATCTACTTGATATGTACTATAAAAAAGATCTTTCTACTGTCAAAAATTACTTGTCAAGACACAGAACACTAAAGTTTTCAATTTGTGATTCCTTTATAGAAACTAATTATAATCTGTACTTGTTTTCAAACCTGAAATGCAGACATGCCTTAAGAAAATTGTAATTCACTTTATTCATTGCAGCTTCAATAAGATTTTAATGTTTACAATAATGAATATTTTACAAAAATATTATTTATAAGAAATACCCAACTTTCAGTACATTTCCTAGATTAGTTGAATAAACAATGAATAATTACAAACACATTTGGAGGGATTTTGTGTGGTCTAATCAAAGCAATTTGACTAATTATGTCAGAAAGCATTCAACTTAACAGGCTTTCAAAAAGCTTATTTTTTCAGAATACATTTAAGCTCCAAATAATTAACAAACTTCACTCTAACAGTGCCAAGTTGGCTGTCCATCCACAAATAAAACCAACAATTTCATTTAAACTGCACTGTAAATATTACACAGTGATTTGCTGAGAAGTATGTTTACTCAAAATTTTAATGAAGATGATGTAAAGTTGAAGTTTAGTATCCATCACAGGCCTGTATGTAGAATGTTTGAGGGGAGGAGTTCTAATTTGCGAGAACAAAAACCGACATGTGTTATGCAAAGCAAGAGTCAGCATGCTAATTTGTAAAAAACAAAAAATAGGTGCTACGAGATTAAATCTGGAAGCAATCTTGTATGAAATATAGCTTAAACAATTGTATGGCTGCTCACATAAAATCCACAAACATCCATTGAAAAGTCAACAAATCATCATTCTGTTGTAACACTGCATGGGGAGCTAGACTTAAATCAGCATATGTACATACGTTTTATTATAGTAAAGTACTGTACTATCTACATGCTGAGTAGTTATTAACTGTTAAATTATATTACTAATTTAAACAACTGTACAACAATAGTACATTATCTGTTTCAATACTTGGCTATCATATACGTACATGTATGCACTACTGAAATAACATATTAGCATGCTCCATTCTTCTGTGGTGCTTTTCCATAAATAACTTGCATACAGTTTCAATGTTGATAACAGTGACATAATGATTATGCTAGAACAACCAGTTTTTTTTATTTGAGTACACCTCTGGTAATTATTCAACAGGTGGAGAGCAGATGTTAAATGTTCACATGAACAAGAACTTAGTGGCAATGTGGCAAAGAGTTTCCATAACAAAAAGATGTTTGATACACTGAAGCATGCTTTTAAGCAGTCAGCCAATATCTGGGGCCTGTCCTGGAGAAGCATAGAAAGCCATCTTGTCTTCCATCAATGAAGTTCTTCATCAAACATATCAGAATTTGGCAAATCTTCCTTTAAAAGTCTATAGCCTGTCTGATGTCAGAGAAAGAAAACTCTTGTGTGAGTTTTGATGGCACAAGTTTTGGAATTAATGCTTCTTGCTTTACATGTGCATCAAATCTAGAGGAAAAATTACTGATAATGTGGTCAAGAAAAGAAATGGTTATTGTTTTCTTAAAGTAATCCTCCATGGAACTATATTCTCCATTTGCACATTGGACTTCTCGTTGACTAACTCGTGGCATGCTAACATTAATATTAGATTTGATTACAATGTTATGTTATTTCTGTGCTTGAAGATATGATGTGAATAATCATCTACGTTCACTCTTAGTGAAGTTAATTCTTTACAGCATTGTTCTATTAGGGAAACACCAAAATCAATGGCTTGGCTTGAATCTTGCAAATTTACAGAGGCTGCTTTCAAATAGTAATGGGAATGTTTTAAAGTTGCTAAACAAACAAGAAGAAATGCTCAGTAGCTGTGGCTGTCACAAGATCTCAAATTAATCAAGAGATGGAGCTATGAGTTAAAAGTTTGTACTTGATAAAAAAAACTCAAGAGTCATTCTATGAGCCGTTATGCCACAGCTAAAAATTAAATCAAAGGATTCCAGTATTTTTAGATAAGCCATAGCATTTTTCTTATCTTCAGTAGTCCAATTGTCATTAAATATTTTAAAATTATCATCCCTGTACACAATAACCTCACACATGTAAAGTAAGAATGGAGGATGTAAACAGAACCTTTCCCAACCTTCAATATTCTCAACGCAGCATGTAAGGCACACATTGAGTAGTGGAAGACATGATGAAGCTGCTCCATGCTGGATGCCCTTTTCATAGATTGCCTTTAATAGTTCCCCACACTTACGTGAGGATTTAACCCAAATAGTTATTTCTTTAACTTGATAGATAAAATTACATATTGGTGGAACTGAATGTGAATTTATAATAGCAAGATTAAGTGGGTGACCCAAGCAATAAGTATGCAAGACCTAGCTTTGCATATCTCAGATTTGTTTTTGGACACCAGATCATTTGCCAGCCATGGTGGATGCTCCATAATATCCTTGATCACACAATTCATTTAGAGATAATCCAACATTAGTCAATATCTTTGTAATTGCACATACAATATCTGTCCCTCTGTAGCTTAACAAGGCCAATAAATTCTTCCCTAATTTCATAGCTTTCATCTACAAAGTGGAGACATATTGTTCTACATTGTAAGAAGACACTTCATCAGCAAGAAAAGGGTATAGAATTCAGCTTTTATTCCTTTGTAATTAATTTTTACTCGAATTACATCATATCCTATGACAGTGATAATGTCACTTTGTGAGTGGGGAGATAAATATGTAGAATTTTTTTGCCTTGGGATGATACATAATGAGCTCTCAATATTTCAGTACAATGTTTCAGCAAAGGCAGAAAATTACCAGGAGTTTTTGAAGAATTTTCATTTTCACTATCACCACATAATGCAAAGCCTTGTTTTCCTAAAAAACAAAATGGCATGAACGATTTGATTAAAAAAAATGTTTATTCTAAGTTATATGTGACTGAAGGGCACTGTTGGTAATAATATCAATTCTATGGGATGGTGGATTTTCAATGGAAGCCTTCAAAGCATCAGCAACCTGCACAGGATCACAATGATAAACAAGCTTAGAATTGTTGCTTAAAGGTATCACTAATTTTTACCCAGTTTTTAAATGATTTGTTGACAAGTACTACTTTATCACGTCGACTGTGCACTGGAAGGGTAGCACAAGAACCATAAAAAATGCCATCCAAGTTTGGGCTGTATAATAACCATGTGTATTTTTCAAACCAAGCTATCCTAAACTTGCAGTTTCACCCATGAGAAAAGATGGTAGGCAAAACTTTTAGTGGTGCCACATGCTTAAAATATAGGAATACTTTTCAGCATTTGATAGATTACTAATAATTTGGTGTTTTTTATCAAGTGATTTTGTTGGTGTCAAAGAATTGCCAATGTCAATGCATGGCTCAGTGACTACAGAAATACCATGACAAATATCTGATGAATCCATTATTACTGTAATGCAGTGCTAAGATGATGGTCCAGAAAGAAAGGAGTTGTTAGTGCTTAAAGCAGTTTGAGGCTGAAGTAAACCAGTTTGCATATCATCTCCACAAGAATATAGCTCAACAGCGTTAACCTCACAAGCTGCACGTTCATCGTCAGTACCAGAGAAAGATGGAGATGGTGACTGGGTGTGTCATTAGCAGTGTCTGAAAACAAAAACATACAGCAACTTTAAAGAGGCAACCAGTATATAGCTTTAACATGACATTATAGTTTATATCATATATAAAATCTATAGTAAATGTTGTTGTACTCGTATATGTATATATATATATATATATATAAATAGACTAATTATTATATCATGTATAGGTATTCCTGGATTAAACACTAACTTTGTAATATAAAACACCAGACATATGCATAGCATAACACAAAATAGCTATTCTACTTGCATGTCAAAGGCTATATTAGATACTAAAGCAGCAAAGCTATATAGTACTTTACCTTGGTCGTTATGTGCCAATCCCTTTCTTTTGCTGACAAAAATCATTTGTATATCACTGCATTCAGATTCAAATAGGTGCTTCTTTCTGTTCAGTAAGAAGTGTCAAAAATATAGCTTATATATTGTATACTATGTAGTCTCAGGATTCTTACTCATACATTTGGTAATTTTCAAATGGGTTTAAGATTAGTACAAGTCTCTGCTCCTTCCTTGTACATAAATAAAAACCTACATAAATGCTTAAATCTCAAACCCACATTCACTTCATAGTTCTATTTCCAAAGCTTGTTTATGCTCAAAACCATGTGTAACTGTTAAATATGCACAACTGTTTCTGTTAAGTTTAATGCAAGCGTTATGAACTGGATAGTTTATATAGTGCAGTTGTCATACTTAATTATTTTTAGAAGCAAGAGTTTACATAATTGTTTACAAATCATACATGTACATTCAATTGTTAGGAGTTAGCAATTGTTATATTGTTGCATCATGTTACTAGAACTTTTTGAATCTTTCTGGATTTAATTGAGTATTATTACATCAGAATATCTAGTGTTGTGTGTAATGTTCTAGACTTCTGTTGGAGTATAAATACATGTCAAAAGATTAATATTTAGACTGCATGATTGAGTTTAGTGATAAAGAGTTTAAAGTGAGATTATCACAGATTGTATCAAGACAGTCAAAACAACCTGAAGGCACACTGTATGTTAACTAGTGTGATAGTTTAGCAATTTTCTACTTTCTGTACCTTGGACTGTGGTAATCCAAACTAATACATAGTTTCAGTGGATGTGCTCTACTGGACCCT